ATCTGGTAGGCGCCGTCGTTGAAGCTCAGGTGGAAGACGTCGTAGACCGAGCGGTTGGTGTCCAGCTGGTTGGAGCCGCGGCGGTGGCACACGAAGCCGTCCAGGCCGCGCAGCACCAAGATGGGCCGGTTGATGAGCTTGAGGACGAACTCCTCGTCCTGGCCTGCGGGGACAGCCTGCTCTGTCCGGGCCGCCGCCTGGGCCTCGGGCGACGCTGGGGCGACATTGGGGCTCCCTGGACTCGGACTTCCGGCTTGTGGGCCCAGATATGCCACTGTCTTACGTGACACCGGCCAGGGGCCTGCGACCGCTGAGCCACGCGAAGGTGCAGTGGACATGAGGGCTCCCTGCAGTCTAACCGCTCCACCCGCCTCAACAGCCCCGATCCCGACCAGCACGCTCGGCCTCTGCCAGGGACAGAGCAGTTCCCCGGGGGCGGGGGCTGGGTGTTGGTGCTGTCCCTGGGCAGAGGGCCCAGCCCCAGCCCCCCCCGGGCAGGTGGGGAGTGCTCACCCACGAAATCGCTGATGGCCGCCAGCTGCCCATTCTTCTTCATGCACACGTAGCGCCCATTACTAGCCTTGAGGGCCACCCGCCGGCCACGCCACTCCATCTCAAACATGGTGTTGGCAGAGCTGGAGGGAGCAGGGCAAGGTCCCTTCAGAGTAGCAGGACATGGGGGCTCAGGGGCAGAGACACCCGCCATTATTAAGAGCTGTTCTCCACCCCAGTGGACGGAGGTCCCCGGCTGGGCTGCCGCAGTATCCTCCTGGAGCGGGTGGAGGCGCAGGTGGAGGAGCAGGTGGAGGAGGGGGTGGAGGAGGGGGTGGAAGAGCAGGTGGAGGAGCAGGTGGAGGAGGGGGTGGAAGAGCAGATGGAGGAGCGGGTGGAGGGGCGGGTGGAGGAGCAGGTGGAGGACCGGGTGGAGGAGCGGGTGGAGGAGCGGGTGGAGGAGCGGGTGGAGGAGCGGGTGGAGGAGCGGGTGGAGGAGCGGGTGGAGGAGCGGGTGGAGGAGCGGGTGGAGGAGCGGGTGGAGGAGCGGGTGGAGGAGCGGGTGGAGGAGCGGGTGGAGGAGCGGGTGGAGGAGCGGGTGGAGGAGCGGGTGGAGGAGCGGGTGGAGGAGCGGGTGGAGGAGCGGGTGGAGGAGCGGGTGGAGGAGCGGGTGGAGGAGCGGGTGGAGGAGCGGGTGGAGGAGCGGGTGGAGGAGCGGGTGGAGGAGCGGGTGGAGGAGCGGGTGGAGGAGCGGGTGGAGGAGCGGGTGGAGGAGCGGGTGGAGGAGCGGGTGGAGGAGCGGGTGGAGGAGCGGGTGGAGGAGCGGGTGGAGGAGCGGGTGGAGGAGCGGGTGGAGGAGCGGGTGGAGGAGCGGGTGGAGGAGCGGGTGGAGGAGCGGGTGGAGGAGCGGGTGGAGGAGCGGGTGGAGGAGCGGGTGGAGGAGCGGGTGGAGGAGCGGGTGGAGGAGCGGGTGGAGGAGCGGGTGGAGGAGCGGGTGGAGGAGCGGGTGGAGGAGCGGGTGGAGGAGCGGGTGGAGGAGCGGGTGGAGGAGCGGGTGGAGGAGCGGGTGGAGGAGCGGGTGGAGGAGCGGGTGGAGGAGCGGGTGGAGGAGCGGGTGGAGGAGCGGGTGGAGGAGCGGGTGGAGGAGCGGGTGGAGGAGCGGGTGGAGGGGCGGGTGGAGGCGATGGTGCGGGGGAGGGGCGGGCACGGCGGTTCTGATGGTGGTGGAGGTGGACGTGGCTGCTGCACTCACACTTGTGTGGCCGTGGCCTGGATGCCCCCGTGGGTGACCAGGGTCCAGTAGCCCCCAGTGCTGGAGTAGAAGGTGCACTTTTTTGTCTCATGGTCGATTTGCATCAGGAAGGTCTCATGATCCAGTTCCTCGTCTTGGTTGGCTGAGACATTGACCCCTGGAGGGAGGAGATGGGAAGCCTCTCACGCCTCTCCCTGGGTGGGCGGGGAGCAGAGGGGTGGGGAGGCATGCTCTTGGGGCAGCCCTGAGCCAGAGGGGGTCCCACCTGGAACCTGAGGAGATTCGGAAGACCCCTCTCAGAGGGTGGGGGAGCTGTGCCCCCCCGTTGAGCACGCAGACCTCCACGCCCTGCTCCCTGAAGCCCAGAGCCTGCCTTCCGTGCCAGCGAATCCCCTGCCTCCGCTAATCAGCACATAATCCGCTTGCTCCCGCTCTCAACCTGGCACTGACACCAGCCTATTTATAACTTGCCCCTGAGCTGCTGTGTGGGCCCAGTGGGGTCCCTGTCCTTCCCACTGCCATGGCCCAGGACACGGCAAGGCCTGGGGTCCACTCCTGGGCACTGGGCAGGGGCTGGCCCTGTCCCCTCCCAGCCTCCCACTCACATGTGTGGAGTCTCCCAGGATTCCTGGGGGAGGACAAGGCCACCTGGGCTTTGCCTGTGGTGCCTGGACCGGGGACAGAGGGGACACCTGTGTCCAGGGGAGCGGGCAGCAGACGGGCACCGCAGCTTCCCTGGTACCTTCCCATAAACAGTCTCTGCGTCTACAGCAAGCGGTGCGGCAGATCACAGGGCTCCTGCACAAACTCCCGCGTGTTTAGCTGGCAGAGCAGGGGTGGGGTGACAGCTGAGGGTCGGGGCCAGATTCCGTCCAGCTGTCCAGCTCTGCACCCGGGGAAGGAAGGGCAGGCAACTGGCAGGGCCTCGTGCCCCCCGTCAGCTCCCAGAGTCCGCGGGCTGGGCCTCACGCGGGTCACTGCTCAGAGGCAAAGGAGGCAGCCCGGCGTTTTCACAGCCACCCCCACTGCCCGACAGCCACACTGCATTCATGTGCCCTGTGACAACGCGGGAGACAGCCCTTCCCTCCCGGCAGCCTTCGTCTGCAGGGAGCAGCAGGCGACAAAGTGGCTTGTCCGGTGCTCACAAACTCCGTGGGCCTTGGCCCGGGACAGCCTCGCGGGGAGGGTGACACTGAGGGGTGAAGGAGCGGCCCCCCGCAGGCGGCGAGGCAGCAGCGGGACCGCGGACATGAGGCCGGGGCTGCTGCTTTCGCTGCCGCCTCCAGGGCCCACCCCGTCGCTGTGCCCCGTGCAACCACACGACACATCCAGGTAGGAGGCGGTCCAGGCCTCCGCCTCGCACACCGTCTGCGTCCGGTGCCCCTGACCTCGAGGCAGACGAGGCCCGGTTGGCGCCAGCAAAGAGCGCGGCCCCCGCTTGCGGGGAGCGGTTGGAGGGGCGGGCGGCGCGTGAGCACCGAGGGGTGTCGGCGGGTCTTTATGGAAGAACTTAGCTGACTCCTGCAAAGACTCGAGAAAAGCCAGCTCCCCTCTTTCCTCCGGACACCGTCCTATCTGGGTGTGAGGCCCGAAACAGCAGCAGCCACCTGTGACCACGAGGGCCCCGGCCTGAGCTCAGAGCTGTCCCAGGAGACTGGTTCCACCGGGAGGAAGGAGCAGAGGACTTCGGTGACGCCACTGGGCTGGCGATGGTGTCCTTCCTGGGACCCCGCCACCTCCGTGCCTCCAGGCTCCCCTTTATCAGAGATGATCAATGAACTCGTGGCTTCTGCCAGTTTGAGGCCACTTTCTGTCCCTTGCAGTGACAGTCCCCAACTGCAGTGCGGCTGGCAGCGAGCCCAGCAGAAACGCGCGACCCCTGGGGTTGGAGGCAGCGCAGAGCGATACCGAGGCGCAGAGCCGGGGCCTCACTCACCCAGAAGCGAGGCGGCGGTTTAGGGGCCGCCTGCCCAGGAAGACGGCGGGGGCCGGGGCGCCGCTCCAGCTCCCTTGGATCTGGGGCATCTCTCCCCTCTGCCCAGGACAGAAATGCCACATCTGCTTCCTCGCACCCTGGTTGCCCAATGTCCAAACATCTGAGGTCACACGCCCCAAGGCTTATTGTGGGGGGGAGTGGGGAGGCGAATGGGGAGTACCTCGGCTTCTGCAGTGGGCAACGGATCAGATCTGGTTGTTACTGGGGGCGTGCCCCATTGGAGGGATGGAGTCACCCCGGGTGATCCAGAGAATGAAAAATGGTCCATACAGCCCCATCTCTTCCCATCACCACCATCGTCATCTCAAAACCACCGACACACCGTCACTACCAACGCCATCATCATCAGCACCGCTGCCAGCACTGCCTCCAACATCACCAGCAGCAGCAGCAGCAGCAGCAGAAACCCCAGCACCATCTGTCGCTACAGTCGCCCTGCCATTACCGCCACCTTTATCACCTCCAAGTCTCGCTCACGAGCTGAACGTGTTCAGATAGTTTGTGTCCAGAATCTCTTCTGACTCACAGAGGAAGCCTTTACACATCGTAGCCCACGTCTCACTGACGAACCAAGCCCGTGGGCCTTGGCCAAGGCCAGAAGCTGGCGTGGCGAGGCCACAGGGCCTGTGATGGACAGGACCAGGGCTGTGCGTCCCCCGTCATACCCCGAGACCCAGCCACACGCCAGGACACGTGCTTAGGAGCTGTGTGTGGAACGCCCGCCTGCACTGGGCTGGCCTCAAGGACCTCGCCTGCAGGCCGGGCCCCTATGGCCACGGCCGGACCGCCCTTCCCAGGTGCTCATGGCCGGGCCTCTGCCGTCTGGACGAGGGTGGCCATGTGCCAGGTCAGGGTGTCCCTGGCCACTCCTGGTTGCACAGAGCCAGGATCCCGAATCAGGGGCAGGTGGCCTAGGCTGGGGCCAGCCCCTCACAGCTCGGGGCCAATCCAGGGCCTCAACTTTCTCGAGGGGAAGTAGGAGTTACCCATGTTCACCCCGTAGGCGTGTGACTGCGTGTGGAAGGGCCCGCCAATCACGAGGCCAGCGGCCAGTGCTCCAGGAGGCGGGGGACCCGGCCAAACCCAGCAGGTGGAGACAGTGCCTTCTCATGGAGGGGCATCTGCTCCCTGCACCCTCCGGACTGGGGGACCCCAAGGTCCTTCCCGCACCACTCCTGGGGGCGGGCGAAGACCCACTGGTCTGGCATGTGGGGTGTGGGGTCTGACGCTGCTGGCTCTTTGCCATACTCTTGGCACCCTTCCCAATTTCCTTTAAAGTTCAGAAAGTGGGGTGGTGGGAGGGAAGGGGTGCGGGCGGGGGATGGGGTGTGTGTGGGCAGCCCAGTGTGAGCGGAGCCTGGCCTTGTGCCCCTCAGGGCAGCAGCCCGAGGCCTTCCCGGCCCCCAGCTGGGCACTGCCCACATGACACTCAGAGGTTGCCCAGCTGTCCCAAGACAGGCCCCCCTTCCTTCCGACCCCACAGCCAGCAGCCCTGTGCGGGGACCCCCCGCGTGGCCCACGGCCCGACCGCCTGCACCGTGCGCGTCCACACGCACCCGCCCACCGCTCCCTC